ACAATCCGCCCGCCTCAGCCTCCCAGAGAGCTAGGATTACAGGCGTGAGCCACCGCACGGTCTGTTTTTTTATTTTGAGACAGGATTTTGCTCTCTCACCCAGTACGGAGTGCAATGGCATCATCATAGCTCACCGCGACCTCCAACTCCTGGGTTCCAGTGATCCTCCTGCCTTAGCTCCCTAGTAGCTGTGACTATAGGCACATACTGTACTACCACACCCAGCTAATTTTTAAAGTTTTTGTAGAAACAGGATCTCACTATTACCCAGGCTGGTTTTGAACTCCTGGCCTCAAGCAATCCTGCCACCTAAGCCTCCCAAAGTGCTAGGATTGCACACATGAGTCACTTCCATCAGCCAGAACTCAGTTTTAAGGCTTTTTTCTGGAATCCCCTTGGATGAGAGGGGTCTGTTCAGTTAGCTGTTCAGTTAGCTTAGAATTTTAGTTCACAGGAAGTTGGCTTTACAGACAGAAAAGGGCTGAAAACAGCAGAAACAGAACAAAAAGTGAATTGGTCATTTCAAAGTTACTTTCCTTGTAAAGATTAAAGCAAAGGGGAATTCCTTATCATGCCAGCTAAAACTAGCCTGTTTGGGGATTTAGCTATTACTCTCTCCTGATTTTTTAGAAGGCCAGATAAACAACTTAGTTTTGGCCTGGTGGTGAGGAACTTTAAGCATGAGTAGCTCTATTTTGGCTTAGTCTGTTGGGCCTAGTGCAGGAGCTCAGTCCAAAAGAGTGGTTTCCTTTAAGTTTTATTTAACAGGTCTAAAGTTGTCTTCAGTTATTAAACTTTGTCCTTTGTCCTTCCAGGTAGAGAGCGGAGGAGGGACGCCTTTGTGTTTGTAAATTTATGTCCTGCTTTTAGGCAAATGGAAGAGGACAGCGAGCTTTGTGTGTATCCAGAGACTTCTCAGTTGCCTTCAGCTTAAAAGAGTCCTTACTGCTAAGGATGTTGCTGAAGGCAGGTTTGGCTGCCACCATCCAGGAACCAAACCCGAGAGGTGAGGAGTGTTGGTGAAGGAAAAGTAGTTTATTCAACTGCCAGGAGCCTGAGGACATGGCAGAATATTGTCTTAAAGACCATCTCATCTTTCTCTGATTACTGAGCAATTTATTAAGTAATATAAAGGGAAGGGGTAAAGGGGGTACCTAGCAGAAAGCAAGCTTTGTGCCAATCACCATGACTCATTTACTACTTATCAGTCAACAATGAATCATCAGAATCTTGTTATCAGCTGTCTGCGGTAGGCCTGTTCTGGACTCTTGATCTGTTTATGTTCAAAATCGTTTTCTAATCTTGTAAGCGGTAGCTGTGTAAACAAGCAACAGGTTAATTCTAAACTTTTGAGACAAAACCAGCCAAACGCAAACCAGAAGCAAAATGGCTTCCCTTTAGCTATCCTAGCAGTATAGTCTGAATGGCCCTTGGGGTGCGCTTAGAGAGAGGCATATGAGGAGACGTTCTGGTCTCCTTACAGGTATACTACTTTTATTCATGCTATTGGTCACTACTGTTCCAGTCCCTTCACCTCAGACCGCCCCATCCCCAGTCTCCCTCATTTTTCTTTCACCTTGCACCGTTGCCCACTCATCTCCTACCCAACAGTCCCCGGAACATAGTGATCAATCGGTAAGCACTGTTGCCCCAGTGTCCTGTTTCTGGCGGGGATTAGCTGTGTGCGCGTTCTCTGAGAGGGAGTGATTGAAAAGACGGAAGGCACTGGGGAAGCAATAAGGTGCTTCACCGAATAAGATGGGGAGGAAGCAGGAAGGGGGGCTCAGCCTCAACCTGTGCCTTTGGTGTATTGTGAAGGAGGGTGGGCTTTGGAGGGGTGCAGTGGGCTTGAGGGCCGGAGTGGCCCAGGATGCAGCGCTCCTGGAGGGCCCGGTGAACCAAAAGGTGTGAGGGGCCTGGACCGGGCCTGGGCGGAGGAGGAGACGGAGAGGTCTGCGCAGGGCCTGGGCACGGCTCCCAGAGGCAGGGCGAGGCTGGGCGGGGCTGGGGGCGAGGCGGGCGGAGCGTGCAGACCGGGGAACACTCTGACCCGCAGACGCGCAGTGGCAGGAGGACTGGCGAACGCAGAGGCTGCGGAGCTCAAGAAGGCCATGGGGCGCACCGTCTCAGAGCTCATCTCATCGCTTGTGGGGCTGTGGTTGTTGCTCTGCAGTTGGGGGTGCCCCGGGAGCGCCGAGCTGCGGTCCCCGCCAGATAAGATCGGTAGGCGACACCGGGGCGGTGCGGGAGAGCATCGGGCAGCCGCTGCGTGGCGCGCCCAGGCCCCGCAGGCCGGGCTGCGAGGGCCAAGCCGACCTCGCAGGTCGCACTTCACCCCATTCACGCCTAACGGCGGCTTTCGGTCCTCCTGGAAGTGGGATCGTGCCTTTCCAGGCTTGGAAAGGTGCCCATTTGAGGAATGAGCGTGTATAGGGACCCGGGCAGGAGGGTGCCAAGAGTCCCTGTAGCCCCCTTCTCGGAGGCCGAGGTCCCTGTCTGCGCCTTCCCTTTGCTGCACCTTGGGAGGCCAGTGTTCTGACTGGACCTGGAGCGCCCGGCCGCTCCGGCTATGCAGATTTCAGGCGCACGCAGACACAGCACAGGGCAGTGGAAACACGCTGACCCTGTCCGCTTCCCTTGATAGGATAGGGTGCAGCCCCCTTTCCCCATCTCCGCTTTGCTGAGGTCGGCCTGCTCTCAGAGGCCCCTGGCTTGCACAATTTCTTTGCTTAGGACTAGTACAGCTGCTGAAAGAATCTGCTCTAATTTCAGGCGCTTTGCTGTTTTGCTCTCTGCTTCTCAATGCCTCCCTCCCCTCCTTTTTAAAATTGTGTTCTTTGGGATCATTAACCTATGTACTTTGAGTCTCCATTGAGACAGAACAAAGCTAGAAATGGCGGTCACTTTGTTTAAAATGCTTACTGCGAAGGCCACCTCTTCTGTTCCCATGAGTTGGGCACCAAGAGCGGTGTGCAGGCCCATTGGTGCCTCCAGAAAGAGCTGTGAGAATCTTTGGGTAGCGGGGAAAAAATCGAATTAGTGTCAATTTTTAAATGAACATACGACCACTTTTGTCTGGTGTCTGTGTCTGTGCAGATTCAGAGTTGGATCTTCAGTGCAGGTGTCCTTGCCCCTCTTCTCCAGGCTTCCCTGAATTGTTGCTCATAGCTTTCAGTAACAGCCATTGTTAGTTAATGGCCTTCAAAAACAAAACAAAACAACCCACATGGTAAGAGGGGGAAAAAAAAACTGTTCCTTTTTCCCCCCTCAGCGATTATTGGAGCCGGAATCGGTGGCACTTCAGCAGCCTATATTCTGCGGCAGAAATTTGGGAAAAATGTGAAGATTGACGTGTTTGAAAGAGAAGAGGTGGGGGGCCGTCTGGCCACTATGAAAGTGCAGGGGCAAGACTATGAGGCAGGAGGTTCCATCATCCATCCTTTAAATCTGCACATGAAGCGTTTTGTCAAAGATCTGGGTATGTAATTTTGGTCTTAGATCTCATCAGATTTCTGTGTGACATTTTTTTCATCAGATGGAGAACTGAAACTTTTCTGCCTTGTTAATTGTCTTTGACAGAGAAGTTGGTAAAAACTGTTTTCCTCACTTTCCT